CCCCAAAACCCCAAAACCCCAAAACCCCAAAACCCCTAAATGATAAATTGCAAGAATGGAATGGATAATAAAATTAATATAAATATCTTCATAAATCTGTGTTAATCCCATTGTATTGATCATAAATCAACTCATTACTCCCTTTCCTTCCTTGCTAATCTTTTTTACTCGACCTCAAGTCTCAACTTCTCCAGCTCAAGCCTCTTACTTTCTATTTCCAATTCCTACTTTCTTAGTCTATAACTCCTGACTGAATTAGGTATAGCCTTAGCAAGTATGTATATGAAGAATAAACCTCCGAAGACAGTGATAATCTTGTGCACCACCTTATCTTTTGTATTCTTGATTAATCTGAACCTGCTGAAAAACGACTAGTTTTAGCTTTATTATCCACCACTCATTCCAAAGATTTTTGAATACCAAGATTGCTTGGCTTCTACCTTATTATACCCAAGCATAGTCCTTATCCTTGCCTTTACTCTCACATATATGGGATCAAAGAAAGCAGATCTAAAGAGACTTGAGAACATTGTGGCTACTCGCTACAACAAACTCCTATTTTCTTCAAGTAGATATTTGTTATCCACTTTTTAATCTAACCTGTTCTTTTGACTGTTCAGATTATTGCTGTTTTTATTTTAGAAAAAGGAAAATGTTCTTCTGGATGGGTTGAGTCGATTCATATTGCAGCTTAATTTACGAGGAAGTTATTCTTAGCAACATTTGAATATGAGCTGTCTGGAAACAGAAAGTAGCATGTTTTAATTTTTAGCTGAAATTATTATTAAATTAATATTAATCATAAGATTTAAAACTAAATAATCAAAGCCCGATGTAAGTTTTTTGTCTCCTAGGACTCTTCTTGTTCAAATCTGTGAGCCCTTAATATTTTACCTCTAAGGGCTGCGGCTTAGGCTGAATAAGAGAGATGTTCTGGACACTTAATTGCTAATCACGAGTCTTCTATAATCTCTATACCTTCAACTCCTAATTTTGAAACAGTTGGTTTTCAGTCCTTGTGATATCTATATGATTAATCAGTGGTGGTAATCTATCCAATTCCGATCTGTTTTAATCTTAAGATGAAGTCCTGCTTGCCTTCTTTTTCTTGCCGTCCATCATTTCATTGAAGTTCCTGCTTGAATGCTTATTAAATGTCATAATAGGGTCCATATGGATTGTCATTTTCGAATCAAGATTCTGTCTAGATTGATCTTCTAATATACTAGATAAGACATCATTTGCACTTATTCTTGTTGTTATAGGTGCATCCTAGCTTTGATTGTTGATTGTTCTGAATTAGACTTTCTGTCGCTTTTTAATGTCAATCTTCATCTGACTTGGCGCTCTAATCGTCACAGTAGATTTAACAGGATCAGCATTTCCATAATTGAATTCAAATGTACTTACTTCCTCCTAATTTCTGGTAGTGAGAGACTCATTTTAGTTTCTTGACTAATCTGATTACTAATTTCTAGGAGAGATACTCTTATTCTACTGCTTCGTTTTATTCACCTTTAGATGTTTTTTAGAGGCAGGTGTGGGTAAATCTATAGTTTTTGAAGTATTATCTTCACTTTATTTCGGTTCCTTAAAAGGACTGCTCATTAAACCTCCACCGAAATTGCTAGCTGCTATATTGCTACTTCTTGGAGTAGTGTCAGTAGCACCAGCTTAAGGACTAACATCTCTATTTCTCTCGTAACTTATAAGTTTTTTAAAGTAGGAATCAAAATTAGAAAGCTTCAAATGAATTGCTTAGGTCTTTTCTTTGATCTCTTATTAGTACTTCATTGTATCAAATAATTGCCTAGATTTTTACTCATCAACCTTATAGTTTTGACTAAGTAATTCTAATCGATCTAGATTCTAAGTATTTTCAGCCATTACTTGCTATGCAGTAAGTTAAAGAGTCTTGAGGATCTCTGCCACTACGATTTAGATGTTGTCCACTCTTTGATAAATCAATTAATCCTTTACTACCGGCTAATCTACTGCATTAATCTTCTAAGTCTTCGATTTATCACCTAAAATCTTTCTTTAATTGAATGTAGGCATTGTCTTATATTTGTTCTCAGTGTCTTGAAATTTGACTCCTGCCTTAATTTTTTCTTAATCAATGTTTTCAAGTTTGTCCTTCTCCTCTTGAGAATTGTCAAGTTGCATTTTGATCTTGTTATCTTCTCTTTTAGCATCATCCATACTGCCTCTTTTACTTAATTTTCTCTCAAAGTCTTTTTTCCATTGATTATCTTCTTCTTCTTCACTATTTTACCTATCTGGCTTTTCTTAGCCCTCCAAATTATTTTCTTCTAAATTTTCATAATCGTCATTCCTAATACTTGAATTTTGGTCCTTTTCAAATTAACTTGTTTGCTCCTATCTCTTGAATCTGCTATCCCTATTATCTTTGTTGCTCTTCTACTCCATTATTGAGTCATTATAAGGTGTACGTTCACTCAAGGCTGGTAATTCAAATTTCTAGCCTGTAAGTTCTTCAATTTTAGCTTTTAATTATTCATAGTTTTGATTCATTCGCTTACCTCCCTTATCTATAAGGAAATTGAGACTTCTCACCTTATCTGCCACATCATTCTTTTAGTTTTCAAGTAATCTGTTGTATGTATCTTTGAGTTGCTTAATATTGTCTTGAGTATATACTATGGACTCTCTCCTTTTCAACTCAAAATCTTCCTAGATGTAACCAAATTTAGCGGTCAGTTTATCCAAGTCATTCATTAATTGCTTTAGTGTATCATCTATAAAGCCTTACTTAACCTTTGTCTCGATTCTAGTCTTTTCGTACTCAATACTAAATTCGTTTACTAAATTGGCAAGCTCGGGAAACTTTACTTTCTCTAATTAATTCACAGCCTCGTACAATTTATTAAAACGATCACCAAGCTATTTAAACCTATTCGGTAAACTAGTCTCAAATTAGGCATCTATACTGTCTTTGATTATGTTAAATTCAGATATCATTTTATCAGTATTGTTTTTCATTTCTTCAACATACTTATCATATGTTCCAAATTTATTTGTAAGCATTTTTTATAGTTAATCAAAATCCTTAGAATCTTTAAATCCGTTATCTGCAAAGTCTCTGATTTACTTGGTAAGTCTCAAATCACCTGCATCTATATAAGAAACTAGATCTTATTTCCTGAGTTCAAAATACTGAGCTACCCAACTTTTCAAATGATCGTCATTTTACTCGTTTTCACTGTCAAATTTCTTAATTTCCTCATGCAGTTATTTGACCATTAATGCTGTCCTGTTTGCTGCTTATTCAAGCTCATTCTTTACTCCACTAAAGTTGTTTGAAATCTGATTTCTGATAGTCTCACTTGCTTAATTCCCATTTTATTCTACTTTCTTGATCATCTTCTCTAGTTATTTCAACTAGTTGTTTATCTCACACTAGAGTTCATAAACTGATTTATCGTTTTCAGTAACTCTATTGAAATTTAGAAGTTCACATCGAACCAAAGACTTAATTGCAGTTACGATGGGGAAAGGTATATTCTTCCAAGTGTCCGGCTAAATTTCATTTAGCTAGGGAATCCCATACTTTTCAAGAAGCTCTTAATGGTCTATCCCAATATATTGATAATAATCCTACTAAGGAGTCATTCTGCTACTTAGAGGTTGACTTCCAAATCCCAATCCATTAGGCATATCAATTGAGTTATGTAGACTTTATGTAGGCTTTCTCAATAAGCCACCCTATCACAGATCTGATTAGTTTTTTGTTAATCGATCTACACTACTTCGCATTTGCGTTTCATTTTTGATGGTGCTGCTCATTAAATCAAAAGAAGTGACTTTAATTAATTTTTAATCTTCAAACTGAACTATTTATATCATCTCGGACTTACGGGGTTTTGGGGTTTTGGGGTTTTGGGG